GCCGCCACGCACAGCCCCAACGAGCGAGCCTGGAACTGGCGCAGAGCCCAGGCTGGCAGCAGGGGCAGGTTACAAGCTGGTGCTGAGTGTGAGGAAAAGCGGCCCCTTGTTCGCCCCATTGCCGGTGCCCTGCACTGTAACCACTTGCAGCCCACATGGGGATGCCTGTGCCTGCTCCAAACAGCCCCATGTGGGCTGTGAGCTCCTGCAGCAGGGAGTGCTGGCCATGGGGAGGGCAAGAAGCCGCTTTTTCCCGTGCTCAGCACCAGCTTCTTCCCTGCCGGCAAGCAGGGGGTTGAGGTTGTGCACTGCCCCCTGCCTGTACCACAGGGCTGGGGAGTCGCTGGGTGTGAGCAGGTGCGGGATACAGCGGGAGCACGGGGCCCGTACCGGTGTCCTGGGGCCAGCGCTGGCGGGGCTCAAAGCAGGGTGGCAGGAGCGCAGGGTCCCAGCCGGCAGGGGCCCTATGGAGCCGGGCCAGCTCCCCCCCTCTCCCCGCTGGGGCAGCCCAGCCCAGCTCCACAGACCCCTGCCAGCCTGTGCCCCACTTTGGGCCCCACTGGTGCTGGCCCTGGGACATTGGTCCCAAGATGGTGTCCAGGAGGCGGGGCACCTGTCAAGGGGCAGGGCTACCCATGCGGCCCTTGGCAGCCTGCCAAAACTGGGTAAGCGGCCCTCCACCCAAAATAATTGCCCACCCCTGGAATAGACTGATGACATGGCAGGAAAGCAGCCTGCTGCCACCTCCTTTGCTAGAGGGCCATAGCAGGAGCAGGAAGATACAGAGCAGTGGCATGAAGGCAGGACTGCTGGAGAACTGAAGACATGATGCTGGGAAGACAGTGTAGGAAGACTTAAATGACACCACAAGGGCCAGGGCCCTGCTTGTCACTAGTCTATACCACTAAAGCTGCAGGAGCCTGCCCAATACGCCAGCTCTGTGGCCCTCTTGCTCCCAGATAGACTTTTTTATAGGAGGAGTTCCCTGTTAGAATCGGGCTCTGTCTGATACTGTATTCTTGCTCATTATCTAGTGCTCTCAAAGCAAATTTATTTTTCTGTCCTAGAGGCTAAGATCTATTAAAGCTCTGGAGAGAAGAGACCTGTCAAAATAAGGAAATTAACCTCAAAGAAGCCTTCTTAACTCCATCACCTTTTCTAGCTCATCCAGCTGACGAGCATTTTGTGCAAAGGAAGCCCTAGCTTTGTACAGACCTTAGAACATGTAGCCCAAGTCTTCAGACAGTTTAAATAGGTCCAAATTTTGCATATAGACTTTGCATGAAATTAGGGAACTCAACCTGTATACAGCTCATTGGATACATTAAATGAGCTAAATTGGGTGAAACTCCTGCCTTGTTGCCGGCACCCATCCCAAAGAGAGGAGAGGTACGCAGGTGCCATTTCCACAGTTCATGCTTCCGCTGGTTAAATATTTGCGTTTCATTTTATTTGGCAGCTACACAATACTCCTGGTTCCATTTCTTGGGCTAGGCTCATAGCACTTTTATTTTGTGAACCACTTGAACTGGGCCACTGTTTTATCAAAGAAAAGCACTGAGATAGACATTTGGCTTGATGGACTAGACTCAGAAGAGGGAATTTTGTTTCTGCAGTATACAGGATGAAGACTTGTTGTTGCTGCCACAAACCTAAATTATGATAGGCTGGAGACTTTAGACATGCCTTGGTGCAAACCATAAGACAGGGCTGTCCAGCTTCAGAGGGACCAGGTACTGCATGAGCTATATAGCTGGGTGGGCCACCCCAGCTCCAGAAGCAGGGGAAGGAAACTAAAGCCACAGGAGCAGCTGGGGTAGTGGTGCCTGGGCAGGACCCTGCAGGCCACAAATTAACTCGTTTCAGGCCTCATGTGACCCATGGGCTGCAAGTTGACCAGTACAGTCATAAGAGAAGCCCCTGACTGTTGAATTAAGGACGGGGGCTGGCAACACGGAGCAGATGGGGCTGCAAGTCCAGATTGAGGGACAGCAGAAAAGCTGTGTATGGACCCAAAGGCCGCAATAGCATGGGAGTCAGGATTAAGGTACAGACTCTGTCTCTCTCTCATTCAACATAACACAGAGCCAAGCAGACACCATGAAAGTCTTAAGTAGCCTGCATAGAAACAGCCTTCTGTTGACTATGCACTTTTGTTCTCAGCAACATCAGAGGAACACCTGGATTGTACCAAGTCTCCATCTGCTATGTGGCCCAGAGTGAAGTGCCCAGTCAGATATCGCAGGCAAGCACACTGCTCTGTAGGAGCTTGCCCAATGGTGGGGGCTGGGATTTCCAGATAGCAACTTGCTCAGCCAGACTCCTACATTCATGGAGAGAAGAATTCAACCAGCAGGCACCAGGTATCATTCAGTGAAAGGGTAAGGCCAGGGGTATGGGAGCAGCTTGGACACAGCCAGCCAGCCATGTCAGAACAGAAACATGTTTCTGGCCATGCAGCTAATACATTACCTTAGCTAGAGTACTGGACCGATAATTCCAATTGGGAGCATGGGAATGGGATAAATATCATGGGGCTGCAGACATGCCAGGGCAGACCAGCCCTGCCCTGCCCTCTTCCAGATGGGTGTAGCACTCTCAGGGGCTCTTCCATTATCATGTCTTCTCATGCTCCAGGGGTAGCTCTTCTGTCATGAAGAGGTAGGAGCTGATGGCTTCCCGCAGGCCCAGACTGAGAGGGGAGTCCTCCTCCCCTGCAGGTGGAGCCTCTGTAAGCAGCATGGAGCTACAGACACAAGAAAGGATGCTCAGCCTCAGTCTACTTGCCCGCCCCACAAATTTACACTAGCACCCATCCTGCCCAACACCCCGGTCACACTGGTCTTACAACCAAAATATTCAGCCTGGAGACAGCCCAGCCTCCAGTGTGAATGACTGCCCCCCTCCACCACCTCTTTGCCTGCTGGAACCTTGGTCCCTAGTGCTCTCCAGTCCCAAGTCAGACTCCCCACCCACCCCCAGCTCAGCATCCAGATGCCGGCTCTCTGAGCACCCTGCCTGGCTGCACCCAGATGATCCTGCTGGGCACTCTGTGACTTTACTGGTATTTGTTTGAAAGAAGTAAAGTGGGATGCCCTGAGTAACTGCAGAGAAGAACAAGGTTCTTCTGTGTTCCCTTCTGTCAACTGCTTCCTACCTGTCAAGCTCTTTCCAGTCAAGAGCTGGCTTCTTGATAATCACAGGTGGAGGGAGGTTCTGCAGAGGTGCTGAGCTGGCCCCTTGGATGTAGCAGGGCTCCTTCAGGAGGCAGCACAGCCCACCCTCAATTTCTAGGCAAGGAAGCAAGGACAGATAAGTGGTTTTCCCATGGTCTCTGCTAAAGAGTGCATGTTCCACAGGGGCATAGAATGACATGCACAGCTGACATTCACTGTATGCTTATGCACACATACAGCCTGTACTTACTGCACACAAGCACACAGCCTGCACATGCTCAGTCTGCTTGTACTGTTACACTGCAAACCCATGCACACACATTGCATATGCACAGCCTGCCTAAGATCTTAGGTTGAGAATTGAGGGTTGTGCAATGGCTACTGAGATCCACAAACTTCTTGTGTAGCCCAAGACAGAAGGGACTCTAATGAGATCCCTTTCTCTTACAGTTGCATGGTACCATTGTAGGGGGCTACCCTTTTGGGAAAGATTACTCCCTGTGCTGTAAACATCACACACATACTAAACCCAGGCAGCCCCAATGTTGTGCAGCCATTAAAGAGAGGTAAATGTAGGACAGGGTTGTTACCAGAGTAATAGTCTACCAGGTCCTGTAGGCTGGGGAATGTGAGACATGGGGAGATGTACAGCCAGCCATTCTCCAAACGGTTAATGCGATAGTGTTTGACAGAATCCCAGGAAGAGTGGTTTGTGCGCCTGACAGACAAGGAGTAGAAGCCTGCAGAAGGAGAGCACAGGGTCACTGTTGTGGTCTTAGGGATGAGAGGAGACTAAGGCCCTACAGGACAGCTCTGTGCTGAAAGTGGTAGTCTGGTGTTCCATGGTACTGCTGGTGCATTGCAATGACACAAGCTGGACATGGCTGCAAGCACCGGGCAACAAGTGGTGCTCTGGGACGTGAATTGTACCTAGGGGCCCTAGCTCCTTGTCTCTGGAGGGTGCTTCCTATAAATAGCACAAGCAAGCTGTATTCTGATTGACTTTGGAATTTCATGGCCCAGCCAACTGAAGAGCAACATAGCACAACCAGCTGGAGAAATGTAGGCTTGACAAAATTACAAGGTGGATAGACAACTGGCTCAATAGCCACAGGCAAATGAGGTTTTGAACGGAGTCCCACAGGGGTCTCCCCTGGGCCATTTAATGTTTATTAATGATTTGGAAGCTGTCACAAAATGCTTGGTGAGCAACTTTTGCAGTTGACAGAAAACAGGCTAAAAAAAATAGGCATGTTCGGCTTGCAGAAAAATCAATTAAGAGGGGCCATGATAGTAGTCTTGAAGTGTCTGAGGGGCTGCCACATACAAGAGAAAGAATACCTTTTCTCTTGCTGCAGGGCGTAGGACACATACCAATGGCTTGAAATTGTAGTAAAGTAGGTTTGGATTGGCTATCACTGAATAATTTCTTCATTGTTAGAACAGTGAGGCATCTGCCTAGGGAAGTTGTCTAGTCTTCTTCATTGGAGTTGTTCAAGAAGCTTATGGATAAGCACTGGATGTAGCAGTAGCTATGTCTGGCATGTGCTGTAACGAACTGGAAACCCAGGAACTTCCTTGCCCCCCAAGAACGGGATGAGCGAATATGGCCCGCAGGCCAGATCCAGCCCGCCAACTGACTGCACCCAGCCTGCAGCTGCCCGCAGCACTCCGGAGGGGGCTGAGCTCCGCCCGTGCCCGCCAGAGTAGCCCGTGCTGCGGTCCTGCCTGTGCCCCACGGCCCAGGCCCTGGCCAGCGTGCACAGCTTGTGGCGGGGCTGTTTCTGGCGCGGCTCTGCTCTCATCTCCAGTAGGAGCCGCCCCCCACCCACCTGCCCAGAGTAGCGCAGCAGGATACCACTGCTGGATACCACGGGGAGCAGAGCAGCACCCAGCCAACTGCAGCCCCGCCAGAAACTGCACATGCTGGCCGGGATCCAAGCTGGCAGGGCTGCTCTGCCCCCTCGCCGCCAGCTGCAGTCCGTGCCCCTGCTGCACCACTCCCAGCGAGAGAGAGCTTCAGCCAGGCGGCTCCTGCCCCAGCGCGGTGCGCTCAGCTCCAGCTCCTGGCTGCTCCCCACCCACTCCGCGCCCAGCTGACCCTCTCCTCTGGCTCGGAGTGCACAGCAGGGGCAGGAGGAGGAGGAGGAGCGGTGGGAGGGGAGCAGTCGCAGAACAGCGGCAGCGGCCCAGGCCCCGCGAGCGCGCGAAGTTTCCGGCGGGCTGCGTCAGTCGGGTGCGGCTCCGCTTCTGTCGCCTCCGGCGGTGGCTGCTCCTCTTGCGCCGCTCTGGGCATGGGGGGAGGGAGGAAGTTTCATCCAGGCAGCTCCCGCTGGAGGCAAAGGGAGCAGAGCAGCACCTAGGGGGCTACAGCATTGCCAGAAGCTGCACACTGGTCGGGGACGGGGACAGGGACGGGGTCAGGCTGCGGGCGCGGGCAGGAGCGTGGCGCAGGCTGCCCCAGGCGGGGCTCAGGCCCATGCAGATCACCGAAGGGACAGCCTCGGACTGAGTGAGCTCTGCTGCACGCGCCCCGCCTCCCCCTCCTTCTCCTCACCCCAGCTGGTTCCCAAGAATTAGTGCCCAGGCAGCTCCCGCCAGTACATGCCCCCCTCCCCCAACCCCTGACAGGGTAGGGTGTGCAGGGAGTGGACTGCATCCATCCTGCACCCAAACACGGCTCCCTGCCCATCCAGAGCCCCATAGGTAGTTTTGGAAAGTTGTTGCATGGCAGTGGGGTCCTGACCCGGCCCACAACAGCTCATCAAAACTGGTATATCAGGGGTGAGCAAAATGTGGCCCTGGGGTCAGATGCGGCCCGCCAGGCCATTCTATCCAGCTCGTGGGCCCCTAAAAGATTTAGAAAATGAATATTAATCTGCCCTGAGCTGCCTGCCACACAGCCCTTGATGGCTTGCCGAAACTCAGTAAGTGGCCCTCTGCCCAAAATAATTGCCCATCCCTGTCCTATGTGGTCCTCAGGCCCAAATAATTGCCCATCCCTTCCCTTGAAGATCACTGTGAGAGCATGAGAAAAGATCTGCAGCCCAGAGCAGGCGTATACTGGAGAAGAGCACCAGTAGAATGAAGCAGAGCTTTGAAACTGTTAATTACAAGAGACAATTAGAGGAGCTGGGATAAGTTTATGGACGGGATATAGAAAGGGGAGGTCTAGCATTGCAGTTAGAGGGTGTGATGTGTGGAGTCATGCTTGCTGTTTCCAGGTTGCAGAGCAGAACAAAGGGTGTTTGGCTTTTCCTATGCTTCTGGGCCTTGCTGATTGCTATATGGGCCCAGGAAGGAATTTTCTCCCCTCTAGTTACTACAAGTGTCCAGGGTTGGCCAGGGGTGGGGGTGGGTTGGGAGAGTTTTTGGTTTGTTTTTTGTTTTTTGGTGTATTGCCTGCAGCCAATGCTGGAAATTTTGACTGGGTTGTTTCAATGCTTCTGCTGGGGCTACAACCCAGTTCCTGGCTAAGTCTTGCCCCCCTGCTCAGGGTCAGCCCAATTGCCACAATTGGGGTCAGGAAGGAATTTTACCCCGTGCTTGGATTGGTACAGACTGTGGGGGGTTTGCCTTTCTCTGCAGCGGGAGGCACTGCCCTCTTCCTTGGATCTCTCAAGTACATTTTAACAATCCTTGCAGGAGTGAGACACTGACAGCCCTCGTTCCCTGCTTTGTCTGTGATAAGTTAGGGTGCTTTTGGTGTTTTGGGGCCATAAACTTTCTTGTTACATAACAGGGTTGATTGTGTAGTTCTAGGAATAGGTTAGACAAGGACTTCTATGGGATGGTTTCAGTAGGGATGATCCAGTCTTGAGCAGGGGGTTGGACTAGATTACCTCTGGATTAACTCCCTTCCAGCCCTACTTTTCTATGATTCTATGACCTGGAGTGCTGTTGTCATAAGTCTGCTGCCCAGGCAGGAGCCCACTGACTGCAAGTTAGCAATATGCAGCCCATGGGCTGCCAGTTAGAGAGCCCTGTCCTATAACACAACTGTATGCTATTTAGACAGTAAAAGACAAACAAATGAAAAATCCAACAAAAAGCCTAAAATGTGACACAGGAATAGCAGGAGAGAAGGGTATCAGCAATTCTTTAAAACAGATCTTCAGTCACCTAGGAGACTTGATTTTATAAATTCATAGTGCATCTACACCTTGAATACTGTGCCCAGTTTTGGTCCCCACACCTGGAGGGGTTTCCACATAAAGAAAGCCTAAGGAGGTTAGGCCTATTCTGTTTAGGAGAGAGATGCCTGAAGGGGGGGGCATGATAAGGGTTTACAAAATACTGAATGGTGAAGCAGAAGTAAATATGAATTTATTATTTACGCTCTCTCACAATATAAGAACTAGGGGTCATAAAATGAAAGTAGTGGGTAATAAGTTTAAAACTAACAAAAGAAGTTATTTTTTACACAGCCTGTAATTAATATGTGGAACTCATTGCCACTAGATGTCATGGAAGCTGACAGTTTAGCTAAATTTGAAAACAGATTGGACAAGTTCTTGGAGTAAAGGTGCATCAGTAGCTATTGAACAAGAAGTTAGGGGTTCAGACTCTGAATCAACACTTCTTGGACCTAAATGCTGGAGGCAGCAGTTTGGAGAGGAACAGTGGGAAAAGAAACCCTGTTCACTCTCCATTCAGCATTTGTTCTCTGCCACTGTGTGACACAACATAGTGGGCAAGACAGACCTATGGACTGATCCAGTAAATGGCAGTTCTTATGTTCTTATGCCTCAACAGAAGTGCCTTGGGGATTTAAGTTCCTATTAGGATTAGCTGGCGAATAAGCAAGAGTTCTGAGACTAAAATTTGGACTTGGGCACCAAAATTAGCAGTGACATGCTTATGAGTTTAGCGCAAAGCAACCTGCTTAGCTGCCGCCAATTCTGTTTGGAAGAGCCCCTTGGAAGTCTTTGCCTGATGTAGGTAAGGAGGGCATCACAGGCTCCCTAGAGAAGGAGGAGCAAAGTGAGAAACCTGGTTTCCTTCATATTTGCAGCTCCACAGCTGCCTAAGCCTGGCACTCAGCTGAGTCAAAGCAGCAGGAAAAGGGGGAACTAGGGCTCAGACTAAGCTCTCTGGTGTGTTAAACTCCTGTCCTGTGGGAATGAGGGACTCAGAGGGTACATTTACATGTGCACTTTAATGTGCAGTAGACTATTTTATGTAAAAAAAAACCCATGACAGTATACTAATGCACAGTAAAATAGTCTACTGTATGCATCACTTAAAAAAACATGCAAATATGCTACTGTGCATTAGCGCAGCCTGATGCACATTAATTTAGTACCTCACATTGGAGGTACTAAATGCACATTAGAAAAGGCATATTAATGCACATGTAAACACACTCAGAGGGAACCAAACTGCTTCTAACAGACAGAGACTAAAACAGAAAACAGGCCTTGCCCTGGGAAAGAAGCATGTCTGAGACAGAAGCTCAGTGCAAAGGGCAGCACTAGCAGATTCCCAGAGAGTTGGGGTACATGGTGTTACAAGGAACAGCAGAAAAGGTCAGAACAGGTTTCTCTGCAAGTGTATCATCTGTCCTACAGATTGGGCTCTGCTGGGGAGCCGTGGTAAGGGCAGAGGAAAGAGAATTATTTACTATGATGTCCAGGGCAGCAGTAGATGTAGGGGGATAAGATTAAAAAAAGGAAAAGGTAGGATAAGGGTCAGGAACTAAATCTGACTCTAGAGGTACAAGATACTGATTGCTCTCATGCCAGACAGAAAGGCAGGTCAGGCTGTCAACGTGTCTAAGGAAAGGTGGGCACCCCCTGACTTAAGGCATTGGCATGATTGCAGATGAAAGGGTTTCCCATCTGTGGCAGTTCCAAGAAGAGGAGATCTTGGTCCTTAGTACCTTATCTTGTCATTGAGGGATACCTGACTTAGCTTTCTAAGTTTGGAAAGATTTCAGGAGCATAGTTCAAATCAGTGGGTAGATGGTTCTCTCATGTGTCACAATTTTCATTGAAAAAAGTGGTCCTTTTTGGAGCTGAAATAGCTTGTCTCTGCTTAACCAAAAGCTACAGGAAGTTTTCTGCCTGAGGACTGTACAGTGGGGGAAGAGGGTTAGCAAGAAACAGAAAACATAATGTGTGTGCAGGAAACCACAGTTCAAGGCATGCAGTGTGAATGATCAGAGATAAGGCTAATAACACCATGTATATCAATGTACAATGCATTGCAGGAGAGACAAGTGATACCTTCAGTCAGTAACTATTTGCTCAGTCTTTGGATCTGTGTATCTAAAATTTGGCCACCCTAGCTCCTATGCCGGCAGGCACTCACTTCTGAAGAGAATTCTTCCCATTTGAAGTCAATGAAGCAGTAAAACAACACACCAGAGGTGGAGCTTGTGGGGAATACTCATGGTTTTAAGTGGTTCACACATTAGCTTCCAGTGCTTCCATTTGGAAGGGTGAAGGAACTTGATGAGTTTAGCCTATTATGTTCCCACTCAGTCTCCTTTTTCTAAATTTAATATCAAAGGTTGTTAATAAAGAGCATTTTACCATGTCAGCTAGTGAAGGTAAAAAATAAATTAGTTTAATTTGCTTAAAAAAAAAATGGTGTAGGAAAAACGGTCACAGTAGCATATTTGCATATTAAGAAAAACTTTCTGACTATATGGGTAGGGAAGCATTTAGCTCAAGCTGCCTAGGGAGGGTGGGAAGTTTCCTCCACTGGTAAGTTTAAGAGCAGGTCAGACATATCTCTCAGGGATGATCCATATACATTAGATCTTGCCTCACTGTAGGGTCTGCATTAGATGATTGCTTGAGGTATTTTCCAAAGCCATTGTTTTATGATTTATGGCAAACAGAAAATATTCTGTAAGGAACTTGCCCTAGCCACAGTGGGCCCTGGCAGTCCTAGTCTGTGCCTGAGCACTCACCTCTCAGGATGACGTGGGTCATCATTACAAGGCAGATAATAAGTCACTGTGTGCTATGGTGGGAGGGTGCTGGTAGAAATGCAGAACATGCCCTTTCCCCCAGCAAGCATTTTCTTCTGTTAGGTACATTGCTAATAAAATCACCACTTTCACTGGATGTTACAGGTCAGTTCCTGGCCTGTAGCTCTACTTTTTCTGTACAGGTGGGACACAAAGCTTCTCTAACAGGTTCCTGGACTTTTGTAAGGCTTAAGTTGTGCCCCAGGACTGCTTTCAGTCATGCTGGGGACCATTTCAGCTGCAGCCTGCTTTGAAGGACCCAGACATTTCAGTCTCAGCTTGCTTCCAGCCCAAGGAATGGAAAGGTAGTTTAGAACTATCCTTCCACCTGGGAGCAGGAATCTGCCCCTCACTGGGGCAGTAGCCAGCTGTGTACAGCTTAGTGGCCATGCCTCTTGCTTCCCCTTTCTCCCTTCACTTCCCTGAGCTGGCAGGGCTGAGAGGGGACCTGGAGCTGATTCCCCTATCTATGTACTTCTGGAGTGTTCATGGGTCAGTTTGGTTTGGTGTGCATGGAAGATTTTAAGCCATGAGGCCAATTAATGAACAACCTTCTTCATCAGTTCCTACAATAACTGTAGCACTGTGTTCTGGGCACATACAGCCAGGTGTTGCCCTTCACAGTCATTCACCCTCAAGAGCAGAGAGCAGCCCTCTGGGAAGGTAAGCAGCTCTGTGGGGTGGAGAAAGGATGGAGAATGCCCAGCCTCAGCCAAACAATTTCCTGGAGTCCTTCAGTGGTATGGGACAGAGCACACCACTGGACTCTCATGAGCCTGGTACCTGTGGGAAAGAGGGTGCCTAGGCTTCTGTTGCAAATCTGAACCATCCACGTTATTCTCAGCCCCTCCCTCCTCTTCGGTTGACAGTTCTGATAGACCTGTGCCATGGCTTGGCAAACTCCCCTACCTTTCCTTGTCTGGCTCTCTCTAATCAGGAAGGAACCACTGTGATTGTAAGGCAGAAACAGCAGCTCCTCAGCCTTTTCTCGGCTAATGCCCTCGTACAGCCACCTGTAAAAGATAACAGGTCCCTGACTGCTGTGCATCTGGCAACAGGCAGGTTTCTTGCTTTTAATCTCAGGGCAGCAGCCCTGTGCAAAGTGACAGTTCCCCCTGGACGAAGAGACAGGACTGAGCATGGTGTGGGGACAGTAGTGCCTTGGCAGGGGATGCAGTAGAGGGGATCAAAGTGTTTTCCATCTCTCTTGGTTACATTAAGGCTTCACCTTTTACCCTGGGAAATACCTAAAGACCTCACTAGCTGGGATGTAGAGAAAGGTAGATAGATGTGTTAGTCCAAAGTCAGGCAGAAAGCAGCCTAGAGTGGCATCTCATAGACTAATTCTGAGAGGTATAAACTTTTGTAAGCAACTGCTTGATTGGTTAGGTGCTAGACTAGACTATATGCATCACCCAGACCTGAAGTGCAGTTTCCCTTTGCCTGGAACATGGTTCTGGCCTGACGAGAAGCGTACAACAACACAATGAGCAGGACAATGAGCCCCTCTTTTTCAGCCAGCAGAGCCATGTTGCCCCTTCCTGGTAAAGAGGCCAATAGGAAACAGCACCATGTCATGAAGCTGTAGGGCTTGAGCCCAGTTCTTGGTTGCTTAGACTCTCATACATTTTTATAGCATTATTTGTTCTGGGAGGTTCCTGGTGCTTCAGGGAAAGACAAAATGGTGAGAGGAAACCTCACTCGAGCTTGCAGCTGCAGTGACCATGACTGCACTGCAGGTCTGGCCATTACATGCACAGGAGCCTCTACTTTCCAATGGATGGAAGTAGCAGCCAGGCCTTAAGCTCACTATCTGTTGAGGGGAATGTCAGCAGCCAGATTCATGACTGCAGAAACATGCATGCCAAACATGTTTTAGCCCTGCACCAGGAGTTACATTAAGGCCAGAGCCATGTACTAGGCTATATCAGCACCCAGAAAGATCAAGGAATCCAGACAAAAAAGGAAGAAAGCCCATTCTTACAGGCTTCCCAGAATAAATGTATTATATTAAATATTCAAAATGCCTAAAACCATTGGCATTGTGTCTGTTCACAAACTGGTTGAACTGTGCAATTAACCAACAAAAGCCTGAATGCTAAATTGCACTTACAGGTGTAAAACTGCTCCTGGGTAGGTTTTCAATTTACATTTTATTTCAGGGAAAATTTGACCTAAAATTCCTTTTTCTAAACAATGGGCCAGCGATACTGCATGCATTTGTACAGGACCTGCCCAGAGGTTCTATGAGGACAGCATTGAGGTGATGCCACAGTACCAAAATATAGAAATAAAGTAGGTTTGGAGATCTAGTGGAGAGGAGACAGAAGGATCACACTGGAAGTTGTTGGATTAGAATGAATGGGAATTGAAGGTCATGTCTGCATGTCTTCCTCCTGCTCTGTTGAAAGGAGCAAGAGACAGCAGCTGCAGCAGGATAGTACCTGGGGGAGGAGGGGTGAGGGAGGGGGCATCACATGTATATGGGCAGTACATTTTGCTCAGGGGCCCTCAGATGCTTCAGGAATCTTCTGCAGCCCAGAGACCTCAGAGTTACTGCTGTGCACCACCAGAGCTCACACCAAGACATGTTTGCCTTAGACCCGAAGTCCATCTCCCCCCTTCTGCAACCCCAAATTGGTCAGAAAGGACTCTTGTCTTTGCCATCTGACCACTGAAGGAGATCCCCTAGGCCTAGGGGATCTAGTGCCCTAAACAAACCACCAGCACAAAGGGACAATGGGTATGACTGGATGGCTTGGGGATAGCTCCAGAAGAAGCACAGAGAACAGCTTAGCATGTGAATCCTGCTTTCTGGTGCTGAGGTCTTCTGGAACACCGTTGAGGGCAAAGTATAACCCTGACACCTCCTGACTTCTATGGGGATGAGAGAGAAGAAGCCTGGGTCATTGATATCTACAGCCTGCACAGCAATGGCTGTCCTCGCCCTGCATGTTTCCCATTCATCTCTTCCTGTCTGGCTGGCCATGGCCTTGGGCTGTAATGCAGACATTTGCCCAGGAGTATTAGTCTCCTGTGCATTGCCAAGTGTAGGAATGGAGGCAGGATGGCACTTCAGAGACTGACTTGTTCAGAGGCATAAGTTTTTGTAGACAACAGCCTACTGCATCAGATGCCATAGCTGTCACCTATAAAAGTGTATGCCTCTCTGAACCAGTTAGTCTCTAAGGTGATTGGCTTTACCAGGTGGAGAAATGTACAGGGACTGTGCCCTTCATTGTGTTTGCACATACCATCGCAGTGGGTACCCAGCCACAACTGTGGGCACTGCTTCAGTACAAATATGACATCATAACTTCTGCCCCAGGGTTTGCAGGCTTACTCCAGTCAGTGCTGTGCCCTTTCAGACAGAGAGCAGGAGCACCTACCTGTGCCACACTTTGGCCACATAGCTGCTGGGCACATAGCACTCTTGGCCAGATGCTAAAGACACCACTTTCCACCACTCTCCGTCCCTGCAAGGAAAATAGTCTTCCATTAATTACAATTCCACATGCCTCCAGCAGGGGAGGCTAGGCTGAGGCTGGTTTCTGGTGCTGAGATCTTCTGGAACACTGTTGAGGGCACGTCTCCTGAGGCTGAGCTGCTGTTACCCCCTTCTGGGGAGCCACTATCCTCACCAGGTGATGGCTCCTATTGCCCCTGCCAGCAGCCAGCCATCTGCCATCTTAGCCTGCTGTGCTGATCATGCTCCCCAATGGCAGTTGGGAGTTCCTGAACCTGAAGCCACGAGGTCACAATGCTGTGGCAGCTGCAGGCCACATGCAGCAAACCAGCACTGAATGAACACTTGCACTTTTGTGCCAGTGGGCACAAGGCTTGATCTGAAGCAAGGCCTGGACTCACTGAGTCAGGTCTCCATTACAACTCCAGCCCTCAGCCAGGGCAGGAACTCAGTAGAGGGGAGAGGATCCTCTCTGAGCCAGAGAACACATGCATGCCCTAGAGAGCTTTCAGTAAGGACTGTGGAAGATACACAATAGCTTGCAGAAACATCTTCTAGCAGTTTTGAAGTGACTGGAAGCCAGACAACAGAGAACTGACAGCCACTTCTCACTCCAGAGTCATTCTTAAAGAGGGCCTGGAAGCAGACACCCTGTACACCAGGCATGGGCAAAATGTGTCTCACAGGCCAGATGTGGCCTGCCAGGCCACTCTATCCGGGCCGCGGGGTCCCTAAAAAATTTAGAAAATCAATATTTATCTGCTCCTGCCTACCTGTCATGTGGCCCTCGCTGGGTTGCCAAAACTCAGTAAGCGGCCCTCCACCCGAAATAATTGCCCGCCCCTGCTGTACACTGAGTGCTGAGTTTATGGGCATGCTGCAGAGCCTGTTGCCTACCATAGAATGAAGGAAACTCTCAAAAGACTGTGCCTGAGCTCTGTGGAGGGGCAGGGGCCTAGGTCTGGGCAGAGTAGCACTGACAACAACTGAGCTCTTGCAGCTTCCACATCACTTTTGATCTGACTTACTCTGAAAGGACATTCAGCCACTCCCCCATCCTCAGGACGGTCTCTGTCCCCTCCCCTGAGGGGAAATTGCACAAGGCAACAGCCACATAGCTGTTCTGACCTGCAAAGAGAGGCACAGAGATATTGACATTGGAGCATTGATCTCTGAAACAGCATCTCATAAACAGCTGCCTTTCCCTGCTAGTGCTGGTGCAGGTGGATGTGTACGTAGAAGGCTCAGCCCTCTTGCACAGGGTATAAAGGAGTAGCAACTCCTACCTTCCTGAATGGGCACCGGAGACTGCATGGGGGTGGATGGACTGGGTTGGACGACAATCTGTTTGCTCCTGCTGGGCAAACTTCCCATTACTCCAGGCAGACAGTAGGGATCAACACACAGCTCTGATGCCCTGTAGCGGGAAGCATAATCTGAAAAACCAACAAGTAATTTGAGAAAATAGTGGTCGCACTTATGAAACACACAGGTGTATTGTCTGTATTATATAAAGCAATTTTAAATAGCCATCTAGAAGAAACAACAGTATTGATGACACAATAAGCTATTGATGTTGGATCAAAAATTAGTGCTGAAGAATGGGAGACCATCTGGAACAGTGGTCCTCACATATCCATCTGCATCATAATAAAAGAAAAACGTTTAAAACTCCTATATCAGTGTTATCTCACCCCAATTAAAATTAAACATATGTAAGGTATAGGAACAGGCAATTGTTGGAGGGAGTGTGGTCAGTTTGGGGGATTCTGTCACATACGGTGGATGTGTCCCAGAATCAAAATGTTCTAGAAGAAGGTTGAGGTGAAGGAAATAACAGGTGGTGAGGGAAATAACAGCTATCAGATAATACTTCAGTGTTTTTACTGAACCTTCCTCAAAACTCTGTAGCATATAAGAGTCATAAGGAATTGACCACTCATCTTGTAGTAGCTGCAAGAATTTCAGTTACAAAAGCCTGGAAGAGAAGTGACACCCCTAAAACCACTGACTGATTGGGAAGTTTTAGTAATGGAAAAGTTGTCCTATCAAGTCAATATTCTACAGGGGAGAAGGAAACAAGATGCTGACTTAGAAATTTGATGGAAATTCTTGGAATTTGCTAAAAAAAAAAAAAAGATTCTTCTGCCTCCAAAACAGACACTTAAAAAGAAAATTGAATATCAAAGGAAAGTCCAAGAGCTATGAATTAACACTTAAAAACAATTTGGCATAAATTGAAAAATTAAAAAGCAGAGTTAAGTAGAAGATAATTAAATCAATATTATGTAGCATTCTGAAGAAAGGGAGGGGGTGAATTATTATACATAGATGGAAACAAAAACTTAACATCAACTGAAACATAAAGGAACTGTCAGAGACTGGAAGGAAGAGGAAAAAACACAAGATTCTGTGGACATTGACTTGAGATAAGGTAGCACCGTGGATGGAAAATAAATATCTTTATGTCAATTTAAGGGGTCTAAATGTATATTTAAATGTTGCATTTAGTTCATAAGTTGGATTTGTTAATAAAGGTCAAAAAAAGAAAAACCAACAAACAAATCAGTGCTCCTAGCTTGTGGGCTTCTGTCTGTAGGCTCACCCTTAGGGCTCTTCAACTGCTCCCCACTGCTCCAGCCAGAGCTTTGCACAGTGCTCTCTCTCAGCACTGCAGGCTCTGCAGCATGCCCATGAACTCTCAGCACATGCAGCCTTCTCCGATGCCATATCCTACCCCACTCCTAGGGTCAAACCCCTATGCTAGGGCCCTTCCCCCTCTCCCACATCCCACCTCCCACCTTGCTGCTCAAATTCCCTGCTGTCAAGCCTACCTTGCTGTTATCTGGCACTGTGATACTGCCCAGCACCACCCTGCCTCCAGAGTACACTCTGCAAGCCCTGCTTTCCCTTAGCTAAAGCAATCAGCTTCCCACATAAATGTGGAAGGTATGGCTGCCCCATGCAAGCAGGGAGCAAGGGTCTGCACAAGCTGAGTGGCCAGCTGATGCAGTACCACTTCCTGCACTCCATACAGCTAACTACCAAGGCCAGGGAAGGGCCTGTGCATGAACTATGAAGAACAGCTTGCTGAACCCTTGGGATGGCCAGGCTATTGGAACAGCAACAGGCCATTGGCCGGGAACACCGTCCTCTCACTTCCAGTCCTCAGCCACAGACACACGCACACATAATTTAGGATACTGTTGCCTAACTACTATAGTTGGTATAGTATACAATGGGCCTATAGTAAATGCATGACTGGGGCTTCCAATCCACTGGGTCCTCTGAGCACTGAGGAACTAAGTCCCCGGGCCCTTTGGGAATTGGTGTAAGCAGTCCAATATGGCTTCTTACTGCTTTGAGAAGTTAGAGTGAAAATAACCCCCAAACTCCTCAGTAAAACTAATTCTGTCAGGTGCAGGGATGGCAAAGCAGCCCTGAGTTGCCTGCTTCATGCAAATCAGATTGAACAGCAAAAGGCAGGCCTGCCCCACAGGGGTCAATGCACCAGATCTTGCACTCAGCCAGGGAGAACATGGTGCTGCGGGATGTCAGAGAGAACACAGAATCCCTGTAACACTTGGTGAAGGCAGTTCCCCTGGTAACAGGGAAACGAGCAAAGAGGGGCATGACTGCGATGCCACAGATAAGTATGTCTTAAAGTGGCTAGTTTTCAAGCACGTGGGAGAGACTGCATTTCATCTTAAGGAGGAAAGCAACTGGTCCAAGGGTTTATTGTTGCCGAGCTTCTACTGGATAGAGATGGGGAAGGAGAACTCCCTCCCATCTTGGAGGGGATGTACCCACAGCCAGCAGTGGAACTGGAACACTGGATGTGTGAAGAATGAATCTGAGGGAGAAGGGGTTAGCAAAATGAATTTCCTTGGCTTCAATCTGGAGGCATCCCAGAAGGTCTCCTTCCACAGAAAATAAGGAGAGAGAATTGCACACTTACAAAGGAAGGGATGGAAGGTGGTTCAGGCCTGACTTAGGAGCAGTGGGGGAACAGCTAAGGGAAGGCATATTGAGGGTCAGTGAGGAGGAGGCCACTGGTAGTCAGTTCTGCAGGGCAATTTACCTGTGTCATTGTTGAGCTGTCCTGTCAAATTGTCCACAATGGGAAGAGAGCAAGCTGAGCTCTTAGTTCTAGGCTAAGAGCAGAGGGACCAGGAACTAGGCCAGTCAGACTGGTGGAGTCCATCTAACCCCATATCCCATCTTCATCTATACCCAATGCTGGTTGCCTCAAAGGGCAAGATATCTCAAAGAACAGTCATGACTAAGCTGGGCACAAAACTAGGCAGGGTCAGGCCTGCCCTCATAAACCAGTGCATGGTACGTGCCTTGTGTTAGAACAGTGGTGCTCAAACTCTGGCTTGGGGGCTAAATCTGGCCCACAGGGCCATGTCATCTTGTCTATGAGGTTCCCTGTGGGTACCAAAGTTTGGCAGCAGGGTTGTGGTGGTAGCAATTAACACTGACATGCAGTTTTTGTCCATGGCCAGATTCAGCGAGTATGGCTGGGCTAGCATGCAGGGTTGAGTCACAGCTGGATGCAGTGCGTGGGGCTGACTCAGTGTACAGTGTCACTCTGTGGCTGGATTCAGCCTGGAGGGCTGAGCCAGTGTACAGGGTTGTTCCACAGCCAGATCCAGTGCACAGGGCTGGGCCAATGCATGGGGTTGCACCCATGAACCGACCCTGCATGCTGCCTCTATAATGTATCTGGCCTGCGAACTGACCCCACTCCACTCATCCAGCCCAGGGTCCAGAAGGTTGAGCACCACTGGGTTAAGAGGTGTCCTTCCACACACCTGAGTAAATGCTGCTCTCTCATGTCCTACAAGATACAAAGGGAGGGTAAGGCTGGCCAGAGAAATGAACCTCTTCTTTACCTCTGAGCTACATTTAGATCTTATGGCTTTGCTCTTCAGGCACAGACTTAGCAGATGTCTTGTATATGAGTCAGAGCAGATGCTTCCAGGGAGCCTTGGACACTGGTTTTGTACTTTCCTGTTTTATAGCTGACAGTTTAACCTGCAGTGTAATCATTCTGCTGGTGCTGGTAAGAGGAGGCAAACCTAATTGTTGGTCACCTGGCCAAGTGGGCTTTTGAAACACTGTTGAGCCCATCATCAGCTGCCAGCAAGGAGAAATTGGCAGCTTAAGGCAAGAAGGCCAGTGTTCAGCTTCTGGACAGAGAAGGCAAGTTTGAAATCTTTGTTCAGGGCCTCACCATTAACCCTTTCAGGGAAACCATAGCCCCTGTTAAATATCTTGAGTGGCAAACCCCTGCATCAGCTCAGTCCTAAGGAGACAAGACGGACGGCTGGGAGAAAGAGCTGTGCAGAACAACCAGGGCCAGCACAAAGTGCTGGTCTTAGAATCAGAACTGATGCAGTGCCTCAGTGCAACATTAGAAAGCACTGACGAACTGGAGGGAGCACCCAAGAACCGTCCCTCTTGAGTGCTCCCTCCCAAGAACCAGCCCTCTTGGGAGCTGCAACACCAATAACTCTGACTATTTGTACTTATTAAAGAATAAACCATAACTCTTAAAAAAGCAAAGGTGCTGTTCATATGCCAGCATGGGTTAACTGCCATTTCTAAGTTAAATTCCCACCACAGGATTGCTGAAGGCCATATCATACTTCCAATTGCCCACTAAAACACCCCTCTCAATCCATCCAAATGCTTTATTTAAAAACAATGACCCACTTGCTCAGTATTTCTTACTGCCTGTGTTAAGCACTGGTGCCATATGCTGGGAAGTTTTTAAAGAGCTGCTGTGCTCTGCGCCAGAGATGGCTGCATTTCAGTAGGTGAAACAACCCCCAATGTGAAAGCTTTATTTCACCACCATTGTAAAGTGCTTTGAGCTCCTTGCCCAGAAGGGACAATGGGAGAGTTGTATTATCCTGGCTTTCCATAGTATGCTCACAATTCTCCCTCTTGTCTGACCTTAACTCAGTAACAAATTCACAGAATGGTGCTGGAGGAAAGCTTGTTGGGAAACTTTTAATGTCTCCCTTGAGGAATGGGATGAGTGGCAGGATGGAGGGGTTACACAGAGGGACTATATTTAAAGCGCTTTTTTAGTTATGTGCATTCCACCCCTCCTTGTTCAGAACATCCCTGTAGACTGGAGGGCCCCAGTCCCAATATCTAGCTCTACTTACTTGATTCTCATTACAGTGAAGGCTCTGTGGGACTCTTCAGAACCAAGAAGATATCATCCAATGTATGCAGTGTGAAATCTGCTGCTGCCCATGGCAGTGGGTCACTCTTGGCAATGCAGAATCTCCCTCACCATAGGAATGGTCTAGCACTGTGTAAATCCCTTCACTGAACGCTCTCCAGGTGGTAGATTCCTTTGCTCAGCACCCTGGTAAGGGTTTCTGCTGTGTTCTGCTACCAGAAGTGTCAGCCAAGTCTTTTGCTGCTATTGGTTATATTGAGTGTGCAGTGTTTAAGAGAGAAGGGAGCTGGCTGATGCCTCAGAGCCCACAAACCATTTACATTTCCTGTGATGTGTGCAAATGGTGAAGAGGAGTCAAGAACAATATGTTTCTCTTTTTGTTCAGACAGCAGCTATTACAACATCCTGCTTCAAATGTGCCCCTAGAAAATGGAACACAGATCCCCATGGATCTATATGTATTAGGCTTGGTTGCGGATCCCAGGAAAGGGGGTAAGGGAGGACAGACTTTCATCTGAAAATGGCTTGCAGAGCATAGTCAGTAAAGACCCCTCTGCACCATCAGGCTGATGAATTTCTTTGCTGCAGAGACAGCTGCTGGGTCTAAATAAATACAGTGACATAGAAACGAGCACATGAATACACACATGCATGCACATGCTCGCTCTTTCTATGTTAATACCCATCAACTTGGGTGTGCATATACCTACACCTAAGGATGTAGACTTATGTGTGTATGCGCATGCACACATATGTGAATACCAACAGAAACCTGCATCGGAAAACACACACACAGCTGTGTGTCTATTTATATACACATTTACTTCCCTCATACTGGTATAATCCATCTACATGCATGTACACACACAGCAACATGCATCTATACCAGGGCTTCCCAAACTTTTCCTCAGCATGACCCCATTTAAACATTGTAAATTTTTTGCAACCCCAAAATAATGCAAATAAGATCAGCAAGTCATAAATATGGCTTTACAATGTTTATGTTCTTTATAGATTTCTTTTAAAACATTTAAAATTATTTAAACTTATTTTTAGATTTAAAAAACAACATGGAATACAAAGACTGAAAAAGCTATTAAATGCATTCATTTGGCATTTATTTCAATTGCTTTAACTGTAGATTATATTTGCTGTGTTGTCATATTGTTAAACAACTGTAGATATCATGTATTTCAGCCATCCAGACTCAATATGCTGATTTTTACGTCAGCGTCCTGAAACATACAAGCACCTTGCTTTGGAGCTGCAACTGTCATGTATGGATGAATAGCATGAGAGTTACATATTTATAAACAGGAAGTAAATTCATCATACTCAGTCAACACTGTAAAACATCTTTGCATCTCCACTTTTTTATCATTCAGACCGCAAATGGGGTCAAGACCCCAAGGTTGGGAACTGCTGATCTATATCCTCATCATCCTCATCTATATCCTCATCCTCCTCA